TATATTTTGAAGTTTCACTTTTAGTAGTTTCCATTTTCAAAAGAGAAAAATAAAAAAAAAATAAATCATAATTGAATTCGCGTTAGATGATTAATTTTACATTTAAATCCATAAAGAATCAAAATCATGTTATAACAAACGTGTTATAGTTGCTGTGTTACCATAGATTTGGGTTGTCCGGAAAGTATGTGCCGACTAACTTATATAATTTAATAAATGTATATTAAAATTTAAATTTTCTGCGTTTATATTTTCCTTCAACATCGGCACGAATTTTCTGCACAACCCAATATAAAATGTTGGTAGGTTTAAAAATAAATTGTCGACAAAAGTGAAACAGACATACCGTAAGCAGTTGATTTGCAAAAGAAAGTATCTCCAGGAGCATTGCAAAAAAATGGATATTGTTATGTTGACATTTACTTCTTGAAACACTAGTATGCGGGCGGATTTTGTGTTACAGGTTACAGGAAAAAGGCTTTTATGTCTTTTCTCAGATTTCTCTCTTGCTTTAGTAATGAAATGATAGTGCGCTGTACGCAAACATGCATGTCTGAATATGCTATGCTGATATTCTGCTTCTTACATTCCAAATTAATTTTACTTATTATAAGATATTAAATTTAACATTGATTATAATAAATTTTTATTGTTTTTCAATTCGTTTATGTTTTGATGGTAACGTGTATCTGTTTAACTTTAACAGTAAAAATAATAAATATTCAGAAATATAGTATTAAAAAAAAAATACAAATATCATAACAGGTATAATATGACAAATAACTTTAATGAGGGCAGCAAAGGATTCGGTTTATTATAAAATTTGAAATAGAAAATTCAATAACATATCAGATACACATATTTACATAATTAAATTACACGATTATTACACACACAATTAATTTATTTGTTATACTAATGTACGAGAATTCAAAGAGATAAGAGATAATTTATAGAAATACCAATAAAGAAAAAGTTTATTTATATTTTGTTACTCTCTTTGTGTTTAAATTAAAATTAAATAGCTAAGCATATTTTATGTTCGCACAAATGGTACTTAAGTTTTTTTTTATCTCAAATGGCTTAAATAATTTTAATAATAATTAAATACATATAACATAATAATTAAATGTATATAAATGCATTAATCGGTAAGAGCAAACAAGCAAATACGTTAATTTCTTCAAGAGCATCTTCACCACATTATGTCTGTTTCTGGATTGGCACGCGCCAAAGGATTCAAGCATAAACTCTTGAGAACTTGTACCGGTTCTTCCCCGTCATCTTTCGCGTACAGAGTTGTCCGTTTCGCATTTCCTCCTTTAATTGATTTTCTACCGAAGGTATCTACTAGCGAATTCGTTTTAATTCCATATCTTCTAGGCATCCTTTTAAAGGAATTTTTCGAGGACAGCGATCCCACCTTTGCCGTGGTAAACGACGAGCGATGATGTTTCCTTCTGGATTTGCCGCTGCTATTAATAGCGTCCAAATATCCCACTGATTTGACCATCGATCTTTTAACGCCACGATCAATGTCCCTTGGATGAATCATTCCGCGGTCCGATTGTAGTACCTTTCGTCTCGGTTGCGTCCGTTGTCGCACGTTCGGAATCGTGCGAGGAATCTTGTAAATGGATCCTGTGATTTTTGCGAGCTTGCGGTTGATTCGCAGAGAATCCAGAAGCTCATGATCGTGCCAGGAAGCCACGACAGGTAAACCGCAAGCATTGTGCATACCTACCAATGGTACACCAATTGTACGATATCCTTTTATCTCGAAGGGCGATCGATATCTGGGATTGGCACCGCGCAAACTACGTTGAGTATTCCGTTCATAAACCGATATCTTCTGACCAACGTGACCTTCTGCTAATTGCGCTTCCGCTTCCTCCTCTTCTGCTTTCGCTTTCTCATTCTTCGTACCGGTCACCGTTACCGTTCCCGAAGATTCGCGCGTGTTTCTCAAAACCCGATGATCGTTCGAGAATTTTCCATGTGAACTCCTGTGAAAATATTCATCTATATCGGAACCATCCTGAGATCGTTGATCCTCCGTCTCATTAAAGTATCGAATGTCTTTAACGTGCTTGCTTGAATCAGTGTTAGCGTAACAGAAACCGCGCGAATTGTGCTGACTGTCGCAAAAGCAACAAGATTTCTTTCGAACGTTATCAGTTTTCAGGGTTTGCGCGGCGATGCACGTAGTCTGCGGTGCGGATCGATGATGCAAGTTGTTAGTTAGAGGAATTCTTTTTCTTAACGGCACATAAACACTCTTCTCAGGTTCGGATACTAGAGACTCGAATTGCGATTGAGGTGCTACGGATCGCCTCAAAGTACCGATGTTATGCGCGATCGACGCCTGATAATCTTTAATAGGAATGCTTCTAACTGTGCCACCACCTTGTGGTCTTTTAATCTTAATCAATTCATCATCGTTGTTATTTTTATTCGTGTTATTGTCTGCGATCTTTGACGCGTATTGCGGGTGTCTCTTAGAAAGATTCAATGGAGGACGATTGTCGATTACAACGTCGACCGCTCGTTCTTCATACATTTGATCGCTTCGCAGCAAATCTTCGGAGTATTTCGGAGGATTTCGCCATTCCTCAATTATACTCTTTCCAGTCGTTGCTAATCCATTATATTTAGTATCGTCGCACGTTTCTCGTTTATTCGTGTCCTTGATGTCAACTGCTGTCCGTTCTTCGCTGCCCTCTAGCCATCTTCATGATTTGGCACCGAATGTAGTTCCGGTTGTATGCATTCTATTCTCGATGCCTATACCTGTATTCAGACATATTTGAACCATGATAAAATAGTGAATAATAATTTCAAAAATACTGAAGTTGATAAAGATTCTTCTCGATGTCTCTGATGAAAATAAAAATTGGAGCACAAATCAGATGTAATGGGAGAGAAGCGTAAACTTCTAGAAGGCGAAATTGGAACAATGAAATATAAAAGAAGCATTTACGTTTCTTTTACATTTTGATGTTTTAATTTTCATTTCCTAGAAGTTTCATTTACGCTTCTATTATTCTCCTATTACATTTGACTTGCACTGATTTTTATTTTCATAAAGTTAAGTATACTCAAATAGCGAATTCGAACATACTAGTGCGCATTAATGCATGTTAAAAAGCAATTTAATTACACCTTTAAGAATGTAAAAATGTAAAATGCAAAAATTTTCGAATTATAAAATATGTAACAAATTCAAGAATAAAGTATAATGGGAAGTTTTAAGTCCGTAATCGGATTTAATTTAAATGTAAACCTATCCATTTAAAATTGTATTCAATTATTATAATTGTGCACTAAGTACTGCGTTGACTCCTACACATATATATATATATATACTTCCCATTATACTCTATTTTTGAATTTATTACATATTGAGAGGAGACATAAATAATTTTTAATTATTATAAAATATTTTATCTAATAGCACAAAAAATTAAAAATTTCGCGATTTAATTCATTTTTTTTTAATTATTATATATATATTTAATTATTATATTTTTTTTAATTAATTCATTAAATATACATTTATTACAATAGTTTTAATGTACATCGCCAATCTATTGAGTGCACATCAGTATGCATTTAACTGGATTCGCTAAAAGATATTTTCGAAATAGTGCGACCAAAAAAATTGTAGTTTAAAAAAATTGCTTACTAAAATCGTGATCATTTTCGTTGAATGGGCTTAAAGTCTGCGTGGAGGTGAAAGTCGACGCTTGTGATTTACTTTTCCTATTATCACGGGAGCATGCGAGAAGTATGCTGAGGAGCGTCATGACTTCGACGAACATGACGACTAATACGATGGCCAGCAAGATCAAGGTTTGATCCTGCGTCCATTTCTCGATGTGTTCAAGGCATCCCTACATATAAAACAAACAAAATAATCACATAACAATCGATATTAGATATTATATTGAATATCGGAAACATATCAGCTTGTCTTTGTTTGACGTTATTAATCGATGACAAATTCGTTCGTTTTTAGAGAGGCATACAGTTTTAATGTGCAAAGTAATTAGCTTAACATTTTTTTTTCAAATCTAATTTTCGGTAGTTTTTTTTTTCGAATGAATTCTAAATTCGGTAAAGAATTGGATTTAGTGTCAAAGTTGCTATGCTTTGAGCTTATCAATCAAGATTGCGCTGGAATCAATCATTGATCGAAAATTTATATGTAGACTCTGTATGTAAAAAATACTTTAGATATTTATAAAGATTTATATTAAAAATCATATCTAACTTATCCTGATATAAAATTTCATGTAAATATATCATTATTATTTACTAAAAAAATTATTAAATTTCTTCACATATGTATTTGAAAAATAATTGGTTATGGGTATTAGTTTATTGTATAAAACACCCGATAAAAATACGTTAATGCGTAGCAAGATATAACAAAACTAAAATCATAACAATGTAACATCATTATCTGCTGCCCACATTCTGATGAATTTTCTCGAAGCCTTGTTATGGAGGTCTTCATCGAGACAAGAGCCATTAATCACACTACTCTCTTTCCTAGTATGATGTATTTGTATACGAGGTCATACGGGTTTTATCGTAAACTTTCGAACAAAACGCGAAAAATCGAAATATTGAATTTGAAGTTACGGACGTAGAGGCGATAGTTTTTCCTCAAATATTATTTCGCTGTAATATCGCGTTTATGTTCGCGCAGGATGCGTTTGATTGTATTAAACTTTCAAACGGATTTCTATTCTTACGGAGCGAGAATAGCATCATAAAGCTTCATGCGAATGTCGCATTTGAATAACGTGTCAATATTCTATATAGACGTATTTATTTCCGTTTTAAGCTACGTTCGGAAACTTCATCCAAGTATCATTTTATTCTTGTTTAACGTCTAATAATAGAGATAAAATGAGACGCGTTAAGACACTCAAATGATGTTTCCGAACGTACCTTATGTAGACCTGCGCATTTATTCTTTGTGAGCCAGATTCAAAAAGTTTGCCTCACTCGTGTCTGCATGACAAGGAGAGGGGGGGGGGGGAGTAATAACTTCCTCATTATCGCGTATACCATAGTATGTCGGGCGTATTGATGTTCGGCAGGGTTCAGAGCCTGGCAGAGAGTGAGATTGGCAGGTTCGGGGTTGAGGAAGGAGCCCGTTTCATTGGCGTTATTCAGGGTGCAGCAACTGAGAGGTACCACTAATTCTCTGCGGCTGACTTCCTGCAGTCGCCACCACGATGTCCCATAATTGCTGCTTCCGTTTATGCCACAACAAGTGAACTGTAAATGGTCAGAATAATAACGACGCACGTTTCCTCTTTTGATTTCAATAATATAAATTAACTATATATATTAGCCAAGTATGATAGACATCTCTCTTTCTCCTCTTTTTCTTTACTTTTCTATATTTTTCAACTTTTATGAAAACCAAACAAAGGACTCTTTTTGCATAATGTAAGATTTAATAATGAAATATATAACTTTAATAGACTTCTACTTATCAGTCTTCATTTTACAATAATTTGTCTGGAATACTGCTGTAAACGATTTAATGCTCCTGAATATTTAATAGAAAAATAATACAATAGAGAACGTATGTTAACATTATATCTTTACTCTTAAATTCAATAGATGACAAACTTACTATTGTTTGTGCAAGATCGAGTGCAGCCGTAAATTGCTCGCGTCCAGGTACGGCATAACTACGTTGTAAAGCGCGTATCAAACGTGCCGGTCTTACATCGATCCCCAGTATATGAGGCCAAAAAACAGCGATAATGCACACGATGCACTCACCGAGCAGCAATAATATTATTGTTAAGAGATACTGGAAAGCATAAAAACAAAAGATCGATCTCGAGCTACTTATATTCGCCATTTTGCGCGTAACATACATCTATTTCAAACAATATTTCTTCTTACCTATTCTTACCTATTAATTTTCTAATTTAATATTACGTAAAAAAAGCAATTTTTTAAATTACATTTCATTACCTCTTATACCATTAAATTTGCCGCTAGGAAAAGAATTGCGACAAGAAGTTACAAAAATTGAATAATATTTAGATACAAATTTTGTATATATTTTATTTTTATTAAAATAATACTAATATATTTTCCTTGTATACATTTAATTTAACGTTTTACAATTGGTATTTAAATAGTGTTAAAAATGGTGAAAAATAGGTAGCATTCATTTCCTTGGCGAGCTGACTCTCATTTGTCCGAACCATGAGCGAATAATTAGTGTTTTTACGCGGCGTTCGAATGCGCCCTCCTTTTATTTACGCGCGTGTCTGCATACAAGCAGATCCGTTTCCGGGCAACGATGCATGACCGAACTCGAAGTAGGAAATCTGGTGTTTCAGATAGGCTCGATGAGCAATGTTGTAGTTAGATTCACGTCGCGCATGAAACCCAACTGATTAATGCATTTAAGCACATGTCGTACTTGCGATACGCAAACAAAGATTTTAAACAAGTAATTCTTTTCTAATCAAATGCGTGAATACGATATCACACACATATGTAGTTTATTTTTTTTTATACGTTTTATTATCTAATATACCATTAAATTTGTCGCTAGAAAAAGAAATTGCGATAAGAAATTACAAAAATTAAACAATACTTTAGACATAAATTTTGTATATATTTTATTTTTATTAAATATCAATCTAAATGAAAAAAATAACGTATTGCTCTCTAAAGATTATTTTGTATTTGTAAATTTTATATTTAAAATATTTTTGTAAATGTTTAATTTTAAACGTTTTTATAAATGTATTTAAAATATTAATTAAAATGTATAAATGTATAAATTAAAAATATATACAAATATATTGGATCTATTAAAATATTTAAAATCAGTTCTTACGGAGATTGTAATGCAACGATTAAAGAGACAAGCCGCCCAGCATCCAAGAAGTCCAATAATAGCAATAAGAAATCCTAATGTAACTATAGCGAATGCCAAATAATAAAAGAGCGGTTGATCAGGATGAATATCACCAGGTCCTAATAGGCGCGATAATAAAATCCGTTCATTATCGGCTAATAATAATCCTCCTAAGGACATTAGCATGAAACCCGATATCTAAAGGAAGAGAGAAACAATTAATAATCTTTCACAAGTTACACTGATTTGATGAACAGATTTACAATTACAATAATTAAAGTGATACAAATCAATCCAGTTCGCATTATATAGCGAACATTATTATTATTATATCTAACATAACATTTCATATATTACTTCTTTACTTAAAAAATGCATGATATAAATCTTTATTAAGAATAATATATTGACTGATTAAAGCTGCGTCTGAAACAAATAGTTAAATAACTCACTAAGAAAATTATATTCGAGCAACAAACAAAAACAAGCGATATGTCCAATTTTCTAGTTCCCATTGTTACGTCCAAAATGGTTGCTTCTTAGTACAATGAGCGATAACAGATGACTTTTTGTCACATAAAGTTTCAACAATTGCATTCGGCGCACATAATAAACGCACGATTAAATCATTTGATTTGATTGACGCAAATTACACTATGTACAATATTACAACTAGATAGTTCGAGGTGAACCTGATCGCGTATGTTTACGGACTGAAAACCCCCCGTACGCGGTGGATGGACTTCACAACAGCATCGGGGGTCTGTAGACGCGCTTGCGTGCCCTCATGCGCGACCGACCGGACGGAACCGGAAGGAAATAGAAAGGCGTGGATGGAAAAAGACCGGAGGGGGAACGAAAAATTTACACACACACACACACACACACACACACACATACACGCATACATAGCCATTTGCATCGTCGATTGGTCGTGTACGATTCGAGTCGACAAATTCACGATAAAGGGGGAACATTTAATGGCTGATAAGACCATTTCATGCTTTTGCACACATGTTAATTTGTATTTAAATTCATGAATTATTATTTAACATTTCAGCTAAATATTATTGTGTCATATATTAAAGTTCCTTTATTTGAATTCTTTTATAAAAATATTTATTTGTAATTATAAATTA